TTATTTTAGATGTAGATTATATACTATGTATAACTTGAATTATACACCAACAACTTTGGGGGTACAAAGTTGAAGAGAAATTATATCTGGGGGTACGCGAACAAAAAAGGTTGAATACCGCTGAGTTAAACCAACACAGGAGAGAAGAAGACAGTAAGTAACGAGTAAGTATCCATATCTCGACTGGAATTCGAACCTGCATCCTTTTGACCGCGATGTGATTTTTTTTCGTCATTTATTAGATTATTCTGTAGACGTACTTAAAATTGTTTTTCCTACCTTTGAGCTGTCATTAGATTTCCCGTTACATTCCGCAACGGAGTGTAAAGGCCAAAATTAGTGTCTGAGCGAGTGAGTCAGTAGAACGAATTTAATTCTGACCAAATTTCGATTATCCATTTTATTTCTCGGGTCACTCACTAGTGACGTGTTTTTGTGCATTAAATAATTATTTCGAATACGATTATAAACAGTGAGACTTTAGTGATAATTAAAATAATTACTCATCATTTTCTATAACTACCATTGAACATTCTTTCGAGAAAAAACCAGTCTTTAAATTGACTGGATGATCGAGGTTTTAGATTTCTGCAACATAAAGATCGCTTATTTATATTTTTATATGTAATTATTTCACACTTTCCAAAATCAGTTTCCCGCCACCCAATGATCCCTCTGCATATAGAATATGACCGTCATTTACAAGCAGTGGATAAGAGTAGAGAAAATATTAGATTTAAAATAAAACTAGACATAAATAATTATCTAATCATGAAAATCTATAATCCATTTAATATCTATGTGGTTCAAATTTTCTGTGGCAATAAAAATAAGGGGGAGTGTGCACACGTTTTGCTGCAAAGTTCTTGTGTCGATTTCCAATTCCATTTCAAAATCTACCCGATCGTAATAAAGAAAATTAAAACTGAGACAGAGAAGAAAATTTTATCTCATTATGGTTATATAATTATAATACGAGTGAGTTGAAAATTTCGTGACACTGATTATACGGTATGATATTCCCTACCATAAAATTACTGATCATTTGCAATTTCCCAATGGTTAAATTATGGTGAGCAAAATAGTTATTACGTTATGCGTCAACTTGTTTTTGTTTTCAACGTGATAATTACATAATGGCGGAACTCATTTTTAACCCCTCAAGGCCCTTCATTGTTTCCCCCGTCCTAATCCGTGGGGACTTCCTCTGTTCAAGATATCCAACTCCACGTGGTCGCCACACACCTGATGCCAATATGAAGCAAATTCACGGAAATATGAATTACGATAATATTGTCCTTGACAGAAATTTGCGTCGCTCCACACAGTAGCCAATTGCAGTATTGGAAAATACGTCTCGGGACTCATTGTATGCAAATAGTTCCATAATCGAGTAATTCATATCATGTTCGATGAAGACTACGATTCTTAAATTTCAAAATTTTTGTGATTGTTATAAATTATTACGATCGGTACCGAAAATTTTGGTGTCCTCATTTCATATCGTTTCTAATTCTTTAACGCGAATGGAATGAAATATAATCCAATGTTACGCTGAAACCATATAAATGTAATGTTTACAAAACCACGCGTTGTCGGAGCTAAATAGTGAATAATTATTCGGAACTGAGATGTGTTTTGTTCGTATTTCGTATCATACTTTCACACTGAAGAAGACAGATGTTCCCACGAAGCATAAATTAGAGTTGGCTTTGTTAGATTCACGTGACAAAAGATATTAAGTGCACTAGTCCTGCTGCTGGTAATTCCTCAAGGTCATTATTTAAATTGTGAAAATAAGTCTTCGAGGAAGATACAAATTATATGAAATAAGTCGTCTACCTAAATTAGTTCCTTTCTTTAAAATAAATAAAATTTTACGCCTACTGGGAAAATGATATTCCTTATATCACGTATTTTTTAACAAACTCTTATTTCTCGTTTTTATCTTTTAATGATCTCTTTTCTGGGGTCTCGGTTTCGATTCCCGGCGGTGCCCGAATTTATAACTTGTGTTAGGCAAGGCCGTGGTCTAGGCAACACGGAGTTTTCCTCCGTGGCATCCCAACAATTACTCCATTCACACACAGAAGAAGGCAATGGCAAACCACTTCTGGATCATCTGCCAAGAACGTATATGAACAGGTCCCAGTCCGAGAAAAGGATGGAAGGATCCCGTTTATATGGACCTGTCGTCAGACAGAACACTAATTAATTAATTAATTACAATAAACAATTAACTGCTGGAGTCACAAACGCTTAAGGGATCAGTTCGTCGTAAGGCCTCGACATCTACCGGACAGCTGGAAAACTAGGATGATCTTTTTATGGCCTCGAAAGGAATTCGTAGTCATGACCAAGTTAGATCTCGCAGCTACCAT